CGGGCCCCTGAGAAGCGTCAGCCCCGTGCCCCCCCACCCCTCGTCACTCGGATCTAAGACGACCCCCACTCCCGCATCTGGAAAACGCAAAGACCAGTTATCATTTTACTACAGAAGCGAATTAGAGGAGCTTCGCCTGGAAAGTGCCCCCCTCCCACCGCCGAGAGGAAAAAATGGGGGGGAGGGCATTGCTCCCTGCACCCCCGCCCTGTCAGAGGGCTCGGCCCAAGCGCGCGGTGGTGGGTGGAGTTTGAAAACACCAGCTCTGACGTCAGCGTACCACTAGTCATTTGCATCTAGGAAATTACCCCGAGGCTTAGCTGATCCAGAATGGATGCCCTTGAACCGTTTCCAAAACCGCCACGGGGTTTAGCACGGGGGCCTCCAGAAACAGGCTTTTGAACAGCACTTTTATACCTGTTCGTAGCTAGCACGAACTAGGCGTATTTGCAGTTGAAGGATGGACAATAAGGTTTCACTGCGTGTGAATGTAAAACAAGGGGGTTCCCACCACCCTGATGGGTACGGGGGAAGCCTTGTCTTGTATTTGAGTAAATGTGGTGTTTTTCTCCAGTTAGAGAAACCAGAAGCATTATTAATATAATCAGGGCCCAGGGCGGTGTTATTGGGTTTAAGATCAAAGCCAGAACAAATATAACGTCCCTAGAATGAGTTAAAAAGCAATCTGCGTGGCTGTGAAACAGGAGCTGCGCTCCCAGCAGCAGCTAATAAACCACAGACCTGCAGCACAAAGGTCGGCTTGGGAGCAGCAACATCAAGGCGAGTAGAAGAGAAGAGAGGGTCTTGTGGAAAGGGGAGTTTAGGCCAGCGGTTCCCAACCGGTCGGTGCGCCATCAAGCACATCGAGGTGTGCTGCGCCATTTTGGGCTGGAGCCGCGCCCCACACCTTAGAACAAGGGGGCCTGACTCCAGCGAGCGATTCAAACGCCGTGCTACCTACTTCCTGCCGCTCTGCGGTGGTCTGCCACTTTCTTCCCCCAACCCCTACCCGGCCAGTGTGCCGTGGGGTAGGGGAGGCCACGTAAGCATGCTGCAGGGTGAAAAAGGTTGAGAAGCTCTGGTTTAGACGGGGCCAGTACCTTACAATGGAACGCAGTCAAGTGACAAACTTAGCGCTGCCTGACTAGAAATGCTGCTGCTGCTGCTGCCAGGTGGTTGGTTTTAAACATTGGGCAGAGCAGGAATCAACAGGGGCCCTGCTCCCGCTTTCTAGGCAGCTTTTTCCAATGCCTGACCACTCTCATAGTCAAAAAGTTCCTCTTAATCGCCAGTCTGAATTTCCCTTGCTGTAGCTTGAGGCCACTGCTCCTAGTTCTGTCCTCTATGGCTACAGAGAAAAAGCCTATCTTCATCCTCTCTGTAATTGTCCTTCAGGTTTTCAGATACCTAAAGGGTGATTACAGATAGGATGAAGGTGGATTTACAAGGCGAGATTTTTCAGTTAAAAAAGAAAAAGAAAAAAGACATTGTTTTTATTCCTCTTGAAAAACATGAATCAAAGTACCAGAAACTTAATGTGCCTTTGCTTAAGGCACATTAAGGCGATTTAGGCATATTACCCCCAGGCTACCGGGTGTGCTCCAGGAAGGGGGTCAGCCAGACGTGAGACACCCCAGGGAGGCACCCGGAGCCTGAAATGTGGTCAGGCGCAGTGAGGTGGGTGGTTCAGTGCAGGAGCACCCCCTACTGGCTTGCCACAGGCTCCTCTTCTCCACATTCACCAGTGCTGTGCACATGGCCACATGCTGCAATCCTGGTGTGAGCAGGTCCAGGGAAAACACAATGAATCCAACAGCTCTTTCCCACTGTCCCTAGTCGATGGGGAAGTGCCTTGTTTAGACACCACACCAGAGAGACAGTCTCCTCCGGTGGGGGCCCCAGCACCCAGCTGGCCCTGGACCATCTTGCACATTGGGGTCAGCAGAGGTGCCGCGCAGTGTGGTCCTTGGATTTCCCTGGGATGTCTCCATCTACATCGTGTCCAAGCACAGCCCTGCAGAGAGAAAAGGGATTGAGTTTAGTCTTTGTAAGGGACCAGCTACACAAAAGAAGGGACTGCACTGCAAAAAAAAAGGGAAGCTTACAAGAAATAATGGCCACAAGCTAGCAGAGAGCAGATTTAGACTGGACATTAGGAAGAACTTCTTCACAGTTACAGTGGCCAAGGTCTGGAACGGGCTCCCAAGGGAGGTGGTGCTCTCCCCTACCCTGGGGGTCTTCAAGAGGAGGTTAGATAGGCATCTAGCTGGGGTCATCTAGACCCAGCCCTCTTTCCTGCTTATGCAGGGGGTCGGACTCGATGATCTATTGAGGTCCCTTCCAACCCCAACATCTATGAATCTATGACTACACATGGACATGCTAATGCACATTAAGGCACATTAAATTTAGGTGTGGACAGCTAAGTTGCATTAGTGCTAGCATACCTGTACTAATATGTATTAATATGGTGTTTATCTATTGACGCACACTGCATTAATGCACAATAGCACATCTACATGTGCTAATGAGACTTAGTTATTCCCACCTAAATCTGATACCTGTTTTATGCAGGTATCAAATTTAGGCTCACATAGTGCACCTTAAAAATGGCAATGGAAAGTTAAGGGCATGCATGTGTAGGCGCACACCCTTAATGCGCCTTAAAAATGGCAATTTTAGACTAAGCCTGGCTAAGAGAGGCATGTGTAGATGTGCCCACTATTCTCTCAATAGAATTTAATGGTGGCCTTAGTTTAAAAAAATAAATAATAATAATAATAATAAAGAGAAGTCTCCCTCATACTAAAATACTTACACTTATAATCTTTGTTATGCAGCATTTAAGTAACCGGAACTTCTATTAACTGGATTTTCCAGCCAGCCGGACACACACAGCGGTGCAGAAAGCTTGCCCACCACCTTGGGCTGCCCCTGCCCTGCTTGCAGCCCCTGCCACCCCCTCCCTCCCCACCCCACCGTGCTGCACGTTATCTGAAAACCCCTGCCAGTTTATTTCAGATAACTGGAACTTTTACATAACTGGCAATCCCCTTACCCCAGGGATGCTGGACAACAGAGATTTTAGTGTACAAGCAAAAGCCAGAGGGTACCCTGCATACGATAGGATTATGTAGCCATACATTATGTTGCCTCTTCAAGATGTTGCAAAAGACTATCCTGAAAATCCAAATTTCTTGTCAATTTCCAGCTGCTCTGTTGATATACCTGCACCTA